TAATATACGTGGCTAAATTTTTTTTATACAATACAAACCTGTAATATGTGGCACTTGTGTTTATATTTACAAACAAACAAATTATACATAAGCTTATACGTATGAAATTTGGTCTGCCATTTTGTTATAAAACGAATTTATGTAAATTTATTATAACATTCCCCGATATACAGTAGAAATAATAAAAATAAAATAAAAGTCGCTGACCCAGAGGTCAGCTGTGTAACAGTTACACAAGGCGCAGTATATGTATGATTTTATGATTTAATGTTATCTACAATATAGTCGATGCTCTCCCAACTTAATTTTGAAATTTTTAAAGCCGAATAAGATTTAACCCGTTGCATTTTATCGATACCGATTTCAATAAAAAGTTTATATATTTTTTTAGCTCTTTCTGTTTGTTTCCAACGTGTAGTATCATTAACCTCTTTAGGTAATTGCTCTTTTACTTCGTTATCTACTTTACTTTGGGCCTTACGATCTCGATATTTTTTTTCATTTTTATAATAATTCAGGCGATCAGATAACTTTTTACCCAGTTGAAAGTAACAGTTTAAAAGCTTTTGACTTGCAATATTATTATCAACTTTGGCTTTAACAATTTCTTTGTAAAGATAAGTATAACTATTCTCAGATAACTCAGAAGCAAATATTAAATCTTTATTAACACTATCGTCTTTTAATTCTTTGATAAGCTTTTTTACTGTAGAAGATTTACTCTCCTTAGTACTCGTCTTCTGCTTTTTATTGGATTTATCTACTGATTCTATAGTATATTTTTTTTGTGTTATACTCTCATGAAGTGGGGTCTTTCTAACCTAATAATGGTGATACAGCCATTGGAGAACCTAATCCAAAGTCATCGCCTAATATTTCTGCAAGAGCAGAAGTTCCACTAGACTAAGATAATAATTTGGAAAACCTTCATTTGGATACTATTGGATCAATGATTTTATTACAATCAGATAAAGGGCATTTGTTTTCTGTTGTAAGTAAAAATTTTTTTTCTATACATTTTCTATGATATATATGTTCACATGAAAGTATTGTAAATAATTTGAAATTAACAGATAATATTTTGTTTTTATATAGTTTACATAGTAGCAATTCTGTAACAACAATATCTTGTACTATATTATGTTTTGTTTCTTTTAAAATATTCAAGATGAGATTTTGAAGATTAGTAAGAGACATAATAATGATGAGTTATCAGATAAGTTTTTAATAATGAAATTACTTATACTTAGCTTTTTTATATAGTTTATTTCTCATGATTAACAAAACTAATTTGCAGATTCTATTAAGCTAATTTC